AGAGTCCTGCCGCAAAGCACCGTGGGTCAAATGTGTGGGATTGTATGAATGTGGGGGGGGGGGTAGTAAAATGAGGATTTCTCAGCTAAATCCTATTAAGTATAATAACATGATTTTTGAGAAATTCAACTTGTGAATGTATCTGCTGTAACCATTTGTTGGAAAACACGGTGCAGCTGCACAGTGTTAGCTGACATACCATAGCAAGCAAATAGTATACAGCTTCTGAATCGAGCTAAACGGAGAGCCTCCGGAATGAAATAGTCTCAAAAGGAAGATTTGATATGATATACTGTATATCAGGGCTGCACGATATTGGAAAAAACTGATATTGCGATATATTTTTTTCCCCTGCGATATATATTGCGATACAGGAATTGAAGAAAAGACAGTTTTTTTTGTCCGCAAACCATCCTTTCTTGAACTTTAATGCTATACAATCTGTCTTTTTCAAACTATATTTAACCGGATGAAAGATTTTAGTCACGGACGTCTGGATCTGAAGTTATCAGAGCAACAAGCTGAGCTAGCTCGGTTAGCAGCGCCAAACTGCCCTGGAGAAACACATGAAACTACTTTATTCAGTGTTTTTACCTTTAATCACGGGGTCCGTTTGCTTTGGAGATCTGATTGTGATTGGTGGTTTGCTGTCACTCACTCAAGTACCCCTGACATGAGAGCCGCGCAAGTTTTCCTTTTGTAGCAAGCAGCAAAATAATTGTAACATGACGTGTTTGAGTTAATTTGCCTACTTAATATCGCATGTCGTAAAACATTTTATTTATTTTTGAATCGCACTTCCTGCGATGTGATAGGGTTAGACATGCGCATATCGCGATTATCGTCACGACACGATATATCATGCAGCCCTACTGTATATTATGAATTCTAATGTTGTAAGGTAGACTCACTATAACCTATGAAATTGTGAAACTATAATGATGCTATTGTAGAAGCCACAAGTCAACTTTTTAGAAGAAAACATGTATTATTTGTGATGGATTTAGATCCACACCAATCAGTTCAAACGTTTTTTTAAGGGAGTTATTGGTGTTGTTCCCTTCACCCTCCCAATCAAACTTTTTATCGTCAAGATTCATCTTAGAGTTGGATGGCTTAATTCGATAATTGGAAGGGATATTCACTTCTCAAAGCTGAGACTAGTCGCTCACTGTTGAGCTCTATGATCTAACTTATATATCTCAAGTCGATGTGTTCCAGCAGCTCACTCATGCTGTTTGCAGGGAAATGACTCTCTCCAATCTAATTAGGTTTAATGAAAACCTGTAATAGCTTTAGCGGGCTGGATGTTTCAGTAGGGAGTGCCACGGTAATTAGGGATCCAATTCAAGATCATATAAAGCTGTTGAGGAAACAATTATACGATACTCAAATACTCCCAGATGGAACAATACACATTGTAGCTTAGACATTTTTAATATATCATTAAGGTGGTCACAATTATTGAAGCACAAATGTGAAATGAAAAGGAATTTGGGAAGAAGATGCCATGGGGTATGCACCAGGATGGAAATCGTTTTTGGCAGCAAACAAACGTTGCAAAAACAGGGTCTTCAATCCCCACCTACCTGCACTTCATATGAAGAGTAGATGAAATGTGTTCCTTAGCATGCTCCTGCCCTGGTTGCTAGCCTGTTTATGCTAACCGCTGACTGATGGCCCTAATGATGTTATGCCGGATGAGTGAGCAATAGAGCCAGAAAGAGAAGTTCAATATCACAGCTGTCTGGAGAGTCGCAGGAGGAAGAGAAATGTTCCTCTGGCTGAGGCCGTGCAATCAGGATTTATCACACTCTCACTCTCACACACTCTCACACACACACACAACACAACACAGGAGCAGTGACATGACAGGCCAGGCCAGATGCTTTCCTGTGGGAAGAGTCTGAAATAGAGAGGAGGTGATTGGACGGTCTCATTTCCTGGTTCACTGCTTGGTCGAATTATGTCACAGTGTTGGTGATTGGATTGAAGACTGTGGATCGGTTGGAGTTTGATGTGTTAACTTTAGGGATGTAACGATACCAAAAACTCACGGTACGATAATATCGCGATAACAAGTCCACGGTACGATATTTATCGCGATATTGGAAAAAAAAGAAGGGAAAAAAAGTTTTTTAAATATTTTTTTTTTAACATTTTATCTTGCCATTTATTTTTTTTTACTTGAAAAAAAAAATCTGATTTGTGCAGCATTTTAGTAGGATAGTCGTATTTTAAAGTGTCAAAAATATAATAATCAGTCCCTGCAATAGAATAAATCAAGTTTCACTTTAGTTTTTCAAGTAACTCAACTCTAACTCACTCACTCAGCATCATCAAGGTTATCTTTTAGGAATATGAGCATGTCCACATTTCCAGGTAGAAGCTGGGATGTTTGGGCGTTTACAATATCCCCTGCTTTGGAAAAAACTCTCTTGCTTGGTACTGATGTTGCTGGGGACAGAGAGATATGCTTTGGCCATGGTGACAGCAGTGGGTCAAACTGTGCATTGTCTCTCCACCACTTCAAAAACAATACAGTTTTTGCCAAGAAGGTGAGGCTTATTGACAGGGCGAGATATAAATATACTGTTGGTACTTGTCAATGTCTCTAGGCATGTACATGTAGCCCTGTAAATACGATGTCCTTTTGTGTTATCTGTTGTTTTATGTTCTGTTTTTTTTTTTTTAATTAATAAATCGCGGTAGATTTTGTCAGTCTCACGACGGTATTGAGACATTTATTTATCGCGATATTCGATATATCGTTACATCCCTAGTTAACATTCGTAAGATCTATGTTGTTACTCAAGTGATGACATACCTTTCCCTGAAAAGCACCTAATTGTTCCAAGGTTCTCTACTTGCATTTTAAAGATGCCCAATGATGCTTTCTGTGCAGCTTTCTGTGCATGTAAATGGTCTGCAAAGGCTGAATCCCTGCGTGCCCTCCAGAGGGAGTTTCTCTCCCACACACTCATAACCTCCATCTTACTTTCTCTTGTCCACTCTCTCCTCTGAAAGTGACTGGTTGTGGTTGGTAACATAATTAAGCTAATTGTCCACAATTTATAGCCTCACTGGCTATAAAACCCCCTGTGACCGCTCCTCGCTGCTACCCGCCTCTCCCTCTCCGCCTCTCGGTCCCTTTGGGTGGCGGCCTGTTGCACTAGCCGTGTGTGTCTGTGTATCTGCTCTTATGTGTTTTCGGGGATACACCACAGATATTTGTTCCTCTGTTTCTCCCCCTCCGGCTCTGCTCAGCTGCTCCGGCCATCTGTGCAAAGGCAAACAGAGAACAGAGGGATGAAGGAGCGGTGGTGGGGGAGGAAAGATATCGAGGAGGGGAAATGTTTTGGAGAAAGAGAATGAAAGAAAGCTTTTTTGATTTAGTAAGGAGGACGAGTAAAAGATGACGGAAGAGGGGAAAGAAAGATGAGGTTCGGGAATTGTTTCCAGGAGGCCGGCCGCATAAAGATGATGTCTGTCTTCTGGAAATAGGGCAGCGAGTGTGTTTATGTCAGTGGAAAGTAAGATGACTAGTGTTGTCTGGGTTTAAGCAGCAAAGATCAGCCAATAATGAGCTCATTTGACATCTAGTTAGGCCCCACCTTCTCTGTCGGCCTGTTCCCATGCTTCCTCTGGGCTGGCCTCTGAGTTTATCCCAGCACTTAGCCTCCCCCCTGCCCTTGTTTTGTAAACTTGGACAAGCCTGTTTCCTGCCTAC